CAGAGGCCAGGGTAAGAAAGGCTGGAGTGAATGGTCAGTGACTTAGAATTAGACAAAGTGATATGGGAACAAATGATATGAATAGACTCAAAATAAGCACAAATGGGGGGATACTTGTGTCTATGCAAAGTCCCCCCACCAAAAAGAATGCTCTCAATAATCAGGTGGATCAGATGACTCATTCTATGGATATAGTCTACCTCTTTCTCTAGCTACACTAGTTTACAGTGGCCTTTGGAACAAAGTAGTCATGGTGTCAAGGATGAAGGTTTTGCATGGATTCAACAACATGGACTTCCTTCACCAAAACTGATCTATTTAGTGCCCAACCTGTTGACAGCAGAAACCAAGGTTGATCCTCCAATATGAAACATTCCCTGGGAGGACCAGTCATTTTCATTATACTAGGCCCTTCCAGTCATTAAGGGGAAACAATTTGTCCTCATTGGATAACTGAGATGTTATTCTATGGATTTTTTCCCCTGTGACGGTTAATTTTATGTGTCAACTTGACTAGGCTAAGGGATGCCCAGATTGCTGATAAAACACTATTTCTGGATATATCTGTGAAGATGTCTCCCATGGAGATAAGATCTCCTTTACCAACGTGAGTGGGCATGATCCAATCTGTTGAGGGCCCGAACAGAACACTCTACTTGAGCTGGGACATTCATTTTCTGCTTGAGCTGAGATATTGATTTTCTCCTGCCTTTTATAGCTGTTGTTTTTCCCCAATACAGAATCCAGTGAAGATTGTGTATTACATTCAGTTGTCATAGAACATAACTGTTCTAGAACAGCCCATCTCTCTCTCTCTCACTTTTTTTTGTTTTCATGACATTGATATTTTTAGAGTCCAGTTCAGCTTTCTGAGTTTTTCCCCATTTTAATTTTTGCAGAATGTGCCTTAATTTGGATCCGAATTAGATGCAGACTTAACATTTTTAACAAGAATACTAAATAGGTAATGTTGTGCCTTCTCACTGTGATAATACAGACTCATGGAATCTTTTTCGAATCAATATGCTATAAACCATTCCTGTAATTGATCATATTGATGGCCCTCTTAAGGCCAGTGGAATCCTTTAGTCTTGCTTCTCTAGTTTTTGGATATGTTCCCATCAATTTATTGAGCTTTTCTTAATTTCTGTCACAATAAGATATTCTAGACTTACCTTATACTTTTGCTGTGCTATCCCCTGGAATCAGCCATTTCTTCAAGGACCTATTTTGTTATTTGTGTTTGTTTTAATGAGGAATGGTTTTGAGAAAACAAAATTTAGGTATTGATGTGTTCTTTGCCACAAGGATGTCATTACTTCTTGGGCCTCTCAGTGGATAAAACTATGTAATGTATATCTTAAAAACCCTGAGTTTGTGATTAATTTGTTTCCAAACACAGGTTGTTGCTTTTCCTCCCTTTAGTTCATATTTCCTATTATTAGAACTCTGGTTTCCCAAATCTTCAACATATTTACTCTTTTGCACAATCCTATAATACACACCAAATGGTTTCATAATCATGCCAGTACTACTACCAACAAGCCTACTAAATAAAATTCATAATGTATTTGCAGTTTTTAAAACTAATATTGTTTATATATGTTTTGTTTAAAAAATTCTTTTAAAGATTTATTTATTCATTCATTCAGAGAGAGCGAAGAGAGAGGCAGAGACACAGGCGGAGGGAGAAGCAGGCTCCATGCAGGAAGCCTGATGCAGGACTGGATCCCGGGTCTCCAGGATCACAACCCAGGCTGCAGGCGGCACCAAACCGCTGCGCCACCGGGGATGCCCTGTTTAAAAAATTTTAAACAAGTATTTAAACATTTTTTAGGTAATTGTGACAAAATATTTACATTTGTCAATTCTGGATGATAATTACATGAGTATCAGTTATATTATTATTTTCTTTTTAAAACTTTTTATTGAAAAAAACTTTTTATTGAAGTATAATGTGATTTTTAAAGGTACATATCTTTCTAGGTGAATGGCTAGATGAATTTTTACTAGTTGATATCTGTATATTTGTGGGGGAAGGTGCATAAGATAGATATAAAGAAGTAGAATTGGCTTCTAGCTTGTCTGTGCTTTAAGACACATTCCTAAATTGTACTTTAAAGTGGCTGTATGAGTTTATTCTCCCATCAAAATTATATGAGAATATTTATTTGCCTACAAGTAAGACAAAACTTGATATTAAGTAGCTTTTTTTTTTGCCAGTCAAATAGATGAAATATCAGTGTCCCATTGCATTTGTCTTGGTTCTTTTAGTAGAGGTAATTTTTAACTCAGTTATTGGCTATTTGAGTGTCATGTGAATCACCAATTTATTTATTTCTGTTTAATATAATGTTAATCCTTTTCTTTTTCTTTCCCATATTTTAGAGTTGTTTGTAGTTTCATTTTAGTATTACCCAACTTAACATTATGATGTTGCTTAGGAGGTCAGGCTGTAGCTTTAGGTATTAAGCACTTGTTCTAGCATTTGTTTATATAAAAATGCTCTTATTGGGTTTTCCCTATTACAAAAGTGATTCTATGTTTATTCAGAGAAGCTTAGAAAATCAAGATACTCAGGAAGGAGAAAATGAAAATCACTTTTAATATCATCACCCAGACACAGTACCATTAATATTTTAGTGTATATACTTTTTTTTTTTTAGATTTTATTTATTTATTCATGAGAGACACAGAGAGAGGCAGAGACATACGCAGAGGGAGAAGCAGGCTCCTTGAGGGGAGCTTGATGTGGACTGGATCCCTGAACCTAGGATCACACCCTGAGCCAAAGGCAGACACTCAACTGCTGAGCCACCCAGGCGGCCCAGTGTATATCCTTCTGATCTTTTTACCCCTCCGCACACCATTTATTAAAATTCCTTCCCTTTTTCTCTTCTTCACACCATTTATTAAATTTCTTTTCCCATGGATTTGTGATTTTATTCTTAACATGTGCTGATTCTTTTAAATGGGGCATCTGTTTCTGAGTTGTTCTTACTGCTTTATTTATTCGTCTGTGTGGTGTTGTGCCTGTATCATTTAAATTGGTGAGGCTTGAGATGCCTGGGTGGCTTAGCAGTTGTTGAGTGTCTGCCTTTGACTAAGGGCGTGATCCTGCTTTTGGGATAGAGTCCCACATCAGCCTCCCTGCAAGGAGCCTGCTTCTCCCTTTGTCTATCTCTTTCACTCTCTCTCTGTGTCTTGAATGAATGAATGAACGAATGAATGAGGCTTTATGATACATTGTGCTCCTGCAGAGCCAGCTCCCCCTCAGTGCTTTCCTGTAGGCTACATCAGGTAGCCTGATGACACATGTGTATCATTCTGAGTTGTGACTTGTGACTACGGACCTGTTAAATTTAAAATGCATTAAAAATTTGAACAGAGCATTGGATGTTATTCTATATATTGGCAAATTGAACACCAATAAAAAAAATTTGAACAGATAAAGGGCTCAGCATTAAACAACTTTTTGTTTTCACATCTTTTTTTCCTATAACAAATCCCATCAGATTTATAAACGTCCAAAAAAAAAAGATTTATAAACGTCCTTCTGTAGATTCTGGAGAAAGAGATCCTGGAGTTATTAATGGACTCTGGGAAATGGAAATTGATTGTCCAACTCCCATTTTTAATTTAACGTGTAAAAGGCTATTAATGGCTTTTCTTGATTCTTTTGTTCTTCCTTCCTTTCAGGAGCCTTTCATAGGTTTACTCAAGATTTTTAACCCTGAACTCTTGTTTCTCATAAGGCCTTAGATCCCTCACTATCCGCCCACCCCCATCTCCCACCTAAGGGCTTTTAGGATCCTGACTCTAGATGTTGAAGAGTGAGCTACTGCATGGGTGGGGAGGGAAAATTTCCTAAAATTCCCATCTGTAGCTCTGAAAGATGAGGAAATGAGGCATATCAATACTGCAAGAGGGGGTGCCTGTGTGGCTTAGTCATTTGGACATCCAACTCTTGATTTCAGCTCTGGTCATGATCTCAGGGTCCTGAGATCCGGGCCCTGATTGAGATCAGGGTCCTGAGATTGAGCCCAGGGGAGGGCTCCACACCCAGCAGGGAGTCTGCTTGAGATTCTCTTCCTCTGCCCACCATCCCCCACCCTCTTAAGGACATGTGCACACTCTGTCCATCTAAAATAATAAATAAATTAAAAAAAAATACTGCAAGTGATCTTCCACAACCCTGAGGTCATTGTCTTCACTCCATTCCTTCTGCATCTCTCTCTACCAGTCAGTGGGGCACTGGAGCTCTCTTGCACTGGCTCACCAGAGCTGACTGTTAACTTTTCAGGAATTTTGCAAGCTGATTGTTAAATAGTCATTATTAAAAATTAAATTATAAAAACTTAAAAACTAATTGTATAAAAAAAGATATTCCTCAAAACTTACCACTTCTTCATTATTCTACTGCATCTTACTATTATTTATGTTCTTGAGATTATTTGTGCCTATTGCATCTGTAGGTAGAAATGCTATCTAATCATGTCCTACTGCATATCTTTGCTCAATTCTGTGCTCAGTGGCTTCTCTTGGTTATGATGTCAGTATTTACACCATTAACATTGGAAAACACTACATATCAGGGTTTGATTTGTTGTTTTGTTGAGTGTGCTGGAGAAAATGTTAACAATACAGATTAAACATAAAAGTGTATCATTTCAATAGCCTTAACATTCGAATAGTCCTCAAAATTAAGGAAATATCTCTCCAGTATTTGAAAAATATTATTTGATTCAGTAATTTGCTTACATCATTGACTAGCAAATGATATTCCCACAAAAATCTTTTTTAATTTCCGTCTTACTCCTAACATAAATAAAAATATCAGCCAGCATTCATGCCAGAACTAACTATATGCACTCATCAGTCACAACCCTAGGTTAGCTTTAGATACAAGAATTTGCCAAAAATCACCGAAAGCATTCTTCAGGAATTAATTATGTATATTTTATTATAATTTTGTAAATTGTGTGATACACAAACTTTCTATCAGCAAAATTTATAACAAACTTATGTACATATTTATCTATGTACTTTTTTTTTTTCTGGAGAGCTGGTGGTTAAACTTACCAGCATACCACTAATCAGAGGTGACAAATGGCTAGCCCCAAGGTTAAGGGGACCATTGACAAGGTCGTGACCACATAGTGTTCCTGAAAGCAACAAACAAAAAGGCAAAATAGTGTCTTAACATTTACAAATTGTGAGGTTTCACATAAAAACCTGGGATTCCTAATTTTCTTGAAAGATGGAATCTGGCCCCATTATATGCTCCCACAGCTAGAGCTGAGGTGCTGTGGACCTTCAAAGGGTGGGCAATACTCTCAATTTGCCACTATCCCCACTGCTCCCTGGTGTCTCGCCAGCCCTCACCCTCCACTGAGCACCAAGTGTCCTTCCCCCCATGTATGTGCTGTGGATTTTCTCTGTTCCTTATTTATCCTCTGTCAGTGAAACCTGAACCATATTTTCAGGCCAGAAATAAATCAGGCAAGCTTGATTTATTACTAAATTAACTTTCCTCTTCTATTGATTTAAGTTCCATTGATCTACAATTATTTCTTACAAGAATCACTTACAACATTTGTGAAAGAGCTTTGAAACTATTCAATGCCACCAAATGGAAGATAATGCATATGAAGATGCTCATAATTTCTAAATCATTTAATTTTATACTTTATTAATAAAAATCCATTAAAATTCAGTTTTTTACATTTTCAGTAACTAATGATAGTAAATATATTTATTATTCATCCTTTCACTTATATTCTTCTTGCCTTTCCTTTTCCAAATCATCTTTTTCCTTGTCTTTTTCTCTCACTTTAAACTTACTTCTCAAATACAATGTCAGTAATGAGGTCATTGCATTGTTCTATTAAAATTCGTACTTTGATCTTAGTTTTGGCCTAATTTAAACACTGACATTATGGACTCATGCTAATTAGCCTGAGTGGCCAAATCCCCCACCAATTAAGTGAATGTGGATATTTCAGGTTATTTCAGGTGCCCTATGTTAAGGTTAAGAGAAAAATGTGGTAAATGTGATCTGAAATCATGAACCCCAAGACGTCCTGAACTGTATAATAAAAAATCTTTCTTCCCATTATGACATTATAAATGCAATTATGTTTCTAGTTCCTTGCATTGTGAGTTTGGTCATTTGTATCATGATTGCCATGGATTCTTTACATTCTATCTTGGTGGTAAATTGAATCTCTGCAAGGAAAATTTTCCTTTGTACACTAAGGTCAGTTTCCTTTTTTTGTTTTTTTTTTTAAATAAGTTGCCTTGGTTCCTTTTGTCATCACATCTAAGACCATTTTGTGTCAACCATGTCATACAAAATACCCTAACTTTCTAACTTTCCAGAATTTAACATCAAATGGAAAAAATTTTTTGTAAATTGTATGATGCATAACCTAAAAAGAGCCCTAAAAGATCTTTTGGTAATTATCTGTTAGTAATATGAGCATTTTTGCCCATAAGAATAACATTATAAATGATTCTTAGATTCTGCAGGCTAGCCCCTAGTAGTGTTAAATTCAGTTCTAATGGTGTTAATCTAAGTTCTTATTTCTGGAGCAGAAGGATAAAGGGGAGAGGGCAGATGAGGAAAATGAGGAGAAAGGTGAAATGGTACAGAAGGGACAGTAAAGAAGTCAAAAAAATGAATAAATGAAAGAGAAAGGATAAAGAGAGAAACTCTCCAGGTTTAGGGCTTGCCCTAAGCAAAATTTTGATGCCAATATGCCATTGGTTTTTGTGCTCTCTGGTTTTCATTTCTGTATCATACTCCTCAAAACCTAGTGCTTTCATTTGGTGAAGGTCCTACCCTAACCCAGCCTGTTCCACTCTCGAAACTCCCCTTTCACAGCGCTCAAGTTTTTAGCAAGATTTTTAGCAAAATATCAGTCTAAGAGAATGTAATCATTTTGTGGAACTCACGGTCCTAAAGCCTCTGGAATCCTATCCTTCTCTTCTTAGGGGAATTCTAGTCAATGTAATGAAAGGAAGCAGAAAAAAATCAAGGCAGTGTTTTGAAGGAAGATGTCTTCCTTGGGGGTCATCCCCCTCTGCTGAGTCCTTGGTGTGCACTGCTTTCTCTATTTCTGACCTGACATTTCTCCACAGCCTCTGGCTGGTTCTTAAGACCTTCTGGACTCAAGTAGTTTTGTTTGTTTGTTTTGGGTTTGTGTTTTTTTTTTCCGAGTTTTTGTTTGTTTCTTTCCTTTAATTTTGTTTTTCAAAATACCTCCCATGGTTGGGCAGAGAGTGGAGAAGAGAAGGCTGGTTGTAGGTGTGGTTCTGTTGTGAATAGGGCTGGGCAGACAGGTGAAGTTGTAGGTAAGGGTACCCAAGGCCTTATTTCCAGATTCCTTGTTCACCTTATCCATAGTTGGCCACAGTTCTTGGTGTTTGGAGCCTGTTTCAATGTTAGTAAATGAATGTGACCACATAGCTTTTGTTGCTTAAAATTGGGATAGTTTCAAAGTAAGAAAAGTAAGGAAAAATGCTGGCAATGCTGGCAACGTTTTCAATACTGTATGCCTTCAAGGATGACTTCCTGTTGAAAAGTGCCATATCCAAGAAGGAGATGTACATACATGTTTGCCAGCCTTTGTGTAACAACATAATCTTCTCTCTGGGTTCACTTTCCCCATTGTTGTAGATGAGTAAGCTCTGCTCCAGTGATGGACCCCTGGCCTCAGCATTGATACGAAGCCTCTTCAGACCACAGATAGCCAGGTATTCCGTGGGGAGAGTGTTGGTACCACACAGAGAAAGCTTTAGGTCCCGGACCAGTGTGAAGTTCAATAGGAGGCCCAGTGCAGATGTGTCCGTGAACCAGATGGTCAGATGGCCATCGTAGCTGGTTTGCTCTATTGCAAAAGGCAGGACAGTTTTGCAGCTGCACATCAAGTTGGCCAAACTATAGTCACAGTCCTGGACATCTGCAGAGCAACTGCAGTTCCGAATGATGTTTTCCTTTGTGAAAATGAGTGTGCTGTTCTTCTGCCCTCTTGTGAAGCAGTGGAGTATGAAAATGCCCAGTGCACTGGTCAGAAGGAGGCTGTGCCCAGAAGGTGGTGCCATTCTGGTCTCAGCGGGGGCCGGCAACTATGTGTTTCCTCTTTGCAAGCCAGTTCCCTGAAGCTCACCTGAAAGAAAAGCATACAGGCTGTCATTAAAAATATACAGCTTATAGGGTGCCTGGCTGGCTCAGTCCATAGAGCCTGTGACTCTTTTCTTTCTTTCTTTCTTTTTTTTTTTCAAGCCTGTAACTCTTGGGATCCCTGGGTGGCGCAGTGGTTTGGCGCCTGCCTTTGGCCCAGGGCGCGATCCTGGAGACCCGGGATCGAATCCCATGTCAGGCTCCCGGTGCATGGAGCCTGCTTCTCCCTCTGCCTGTGTCTCTGCCTCTCTCTCTCTCTCTCTCTCTGTGTGACTATCATAAATAAATAAAAAAAATAAAAAAAATCATTTGAAACAATATATTAAAAAAAAAAAAGCCTGTAACTCTTGATCTCGGGCTCGTGAATTTGAGCCCCATGTTGGGTGTAGAGACTACTTAAGAAACATGCCACTGATAAAAAAGGAGCCCCTGAAATAACCCACAATAATTTTCTCTCTCATAGTTTTATTAAAGGCAGGCAATGCATGGAGCCCAAGTGCAGAAATGATCTTTGCTCAGGGCCTCAGGAGAGGCAGCAAACAACCTGCTCATCTGAGTTATAAAACTTGTTGTGATGTCTGCCGACAGGCTAACACACTAACAGCAAGCAAGACAGGGTGCCCAAGATAAGACCCGATGCACCCTGTCTGTGGGCAGGGATTTTGTAATGCTTAGAGTGTGCACATTCTCCAAACATTGTCTTCCTTGTACTGAATCCCTGGCAACCCCTGAAACCTGCACATTCCCTCCTCCCCCTCAGTATCTGACTTTCTGGAATTTAGGACACAACAGTTCCGCGTTGGATTCAGTTCCCCAAGTGCTACCTGTTAAACAGCATAGCATGAATACCAGTGAAACATTTAGTTAATGATAAACTTTAATTTCTAACTAGACAAACATGCCCCCCCATCATATTAATCTGTTTAGAGGTCCATTGATACTTCCTGCTCTCCTACAAATGTGAAGTATCAGAGTAGATTTTTAACTGTATTGATGGATAATGAACACGCTAACACGCACCAATTAATCACAAGGAACTTGCTCATCTGCTCCTTCTCCAGAATAAATGTTATAAATTGATTTTATCAAATAATTTAGTGTAGGCCTCCAAAACTAAGCAATATATCATTAGCGTTCAATGATCTAAATAGGGTAGGAGTGCATACATAGTTGAAGGAGCAAAGCCAATGTCTGATCTGGAGGAAAATGCCCTAAGTACCTGGCATATCATAGATACATGGTCTTCTTTTATGGTGAGCTTGGAATGAGACATACATTATGAAGTAGGGTCAGGTTTTAGTCTTTCAAAAATAAGGACATTTCCCCTGAGTGAGCTGATGCCTGACCAAGAGATACAAGACCAAAGGTACAATTCAGTTCCTCTGAATTGACCAAAGACATAGTTGAGTTAATCTGCATGTACAAAGCACCATGGGTTTGGCAAAATACTTAAAATAAGACCTCTGACTTGGAAAGTCCAAGGTTGGTGACAGGGCCCCCGCAGGAAGTGCTGGGGAGGGATAGGTGGGTCAATCTGAGGAGCTGAACATGTGTCCAAAGAGAATGGTGACAGCAGGAAAGGGGCGAGGTGGACATGCTACACTTAGGGTGCAAGATGAGGCCATGAGGTGGCAAAGCAAGGTGAAGAGAAGTCAAGGGAGGTAAAGCTAAAAATGCCAGGGTCAGGTAGACGGGCTGCAAGCACAAGCTCATCAGCAGGTGCCTGGAGAGCAGGGAGACTAAAAATAAGCTGAGCCAGGTATACGTGAGCAGGTGAGATATTGGTTCACAGCAATTATAACTCCATTCATTCAGCAAACGTTAATGGGGAGTTCCTCAGGCAGCAGGCACCTTGCTAGCCTTGGGGACACAGCCCAGAAGACAACGAGCTGTTGGAACTTGTGTTCTAAGGGAGTTGATTCTGCTTCCAGGCCTTTCAGGTGAGGATTGAGGGGCTGCAGCAGTGGGGAGGAAGAGGATGCAAAGGTAGAGGAGTCAGGTAGGATTCAGCACTGGCCATGTGCCAAGGGCAAGCAGAAGAAACAAAGACAAATAAGACACATACCCTTCCCCTCCAAGGGCTTATTGGCAGAAAGCGACAAATAAGGCGGAACTGAGAAAGGCCGATTGAACATATGTGTAGTTATAGGGACATAGCAGAGAGCTAGGTTAAAGTCCATTTGAGGGGCTGAGCATGGTACTTTATAGAGTTTTGTGTTTATTTTGAACTTGGCACAGGGCTTTCTTAAAGGCTATATTCATTGGTTCATTTTGTAATAAAAGAAGGGCTTTGAGGAATGCATAGGGTCAGATTTCTTCCTGAACACAGGGTTTAACAGTTTTAAATAATTTTAAAATGTGGTGGTGACTACCCCACTTAGTAAGGAGCAGTGACTAATTTGTTAATTACAAGATAATTTTAGATAATCAGTTGTCCCAGATTCCACTGGAGATTTCTGGGACTTCATGCCCTGGTAACCCTTTCATCCCAGAACTAGGAAAGCTGTCAGCAATATCCCTAGCTTGCTCTGACCCCAGCCCAAGGGGACAGGGAGGTGGAAGAGAATCTATCCATCAGTCTGGAGCTTGGTGAGGAACATGTCTACTTTATTCTTGCAGGTGCTAATACCTTTCAGAGGCATTCATGGAGGAATAAAAGAGGTAGGAAGGGAAATGGACATTGATTTCCTGAAATGAGTGGGGCTGGAGATCATAAAAGGGACTTGTGAGCAGTTCCCCGGGCCCTTGGGCCCCCCCCCCCTGCAGTCAAAGCCCTGGCTGGACCTCAGGGTGGGCTTTCCCTGCCTTCTGGTTATCAGGGCTGGAACCAGGAGGCTAGATACATGAAGCCTCCTGATAGAGCACAGAATGGGATAGATGGCCCTGGTAACAAGCTGATGGGGTTTCCAAAAAGATGCTAGTTGGAGATTTTTCTCCTTCAGCTTTACCCTGGACTACTTTCTTTAGATTTGTTTCTTTAGATTTGTTAATTTGTTTAGATTTGGATTGCGAACACCCTAGTTTCACTATGCATTTACTCATTTGTGGGCAGATTCCAGTATGGCATAAGGAGAATGGGCACAGATACATCACCCTGATCCTTTTCCTCCCCTAGCTAGGCCTCTGACTGTTGTGGGGGTGGTACTATGGGGAAAGAAACTTTTTCCTCTGGGGGTTGCCCATCTTGTTAGAAGGGAAATCTTGATCTACTGGTGACCATAATCTTATCTCCAGAAGGGGTGAACTTGCCTGACAATGAAGCTAGCACAGAGAAGAACAGACAAGAAATGGAGAGACATTGCTAACAACCTTTTTTGAGCACTGGGATCAAGCCATGCCTGACACCCTTCCTTGATTTTTGAAATATATGAACCAAGTTTTTGTTTTTGTTTTTGTTTTTCCTACTCAAACCAGTCTGAATTGGATTTCTTTAACAAGCAACAAAGAAGACACTGACATTTGGTAAACTTTTTTTTTCATTCATTCAATAAACCTTTGTTGAATACTTGCTATATACCGGGCACTGTGCTGGAAACTGAGAATAAAGGCAATGAGAGCTCCCTCAGGGGTTCTACACCAGTAGAAGAGACCCCTGAATCAACAACCACAGCATGGTGTGACGATCATTATAACATTTTGTACAGAGTGTTAAGTCTACCCCTAACTTTGCCTGGAAATGGAAGGTGTCATAAGCTTCATGGAAGAGGAAGTATCTGAGGAGGGCAGTAAAAGTGAAAAAAAGAAAAGGAAAAGTTACCTATGTAATTATCATAGAGTGATCAGAGTTTGAAAACCCAGGAGTAGGGCAGAGAGATTGATGGGCTGTGGGGATGGCGGTGCAAGAGGGGAGGTAAGTGGTCCTATGGGGTGAAACCTTGTGACTTGCCCTGACACATCATTTTCTCAGCATCCCAGCTTTTTGTGTGCTCTGTCATTAGGACTTGCCTCCTATGTCCTAAGATGAGCCCTCTCCCCACCCCCAGGATGGGCAGCGGCTTAGCAGGGACAGGGGCAATTTGACGTGTCTGTGCTATTCTGCTTGTGTTGTGCTGGAATCTGCCCACATGAAAAAATACATAGTGGACCTACGGCAAAGGTTGATTTGCCCCTTATGTGGCGGTGTAATGCCATTAAGGAGCTGTGGGGATGGGGAGGGTGTGCTCTTCTCCACATGGTCATACAGGGACTCAAGCTTTCATCCATAGCTCTATCATCTCCTGGGCCTTTGGATCCTCTACAGAAATTTTTGTTCACATTTCACCAACCAGAACTCAGGCACATGTCAACCCCTCTCTGCAGGCAGTTTGAAGTCCAGCATTATGCCAAAAGAGGAGAGGATGGATGGCATGGGTACTGGTGGGCGCCAGTAATGACCTGCCTGGGTTGTGAGACATAATAAATGGCTTTATGCAATGATGACAAACGACCCGGTGGTGTCAATCCACCTAAATTTTTCAGGCAAGGTGCAGAAAACCATATATGATCATTAAATCTTCGAGCCTTTAAATCACTATGTTGAAAAACCACAGCAACTATTCAGAATCAGTTCAACTATTAGTTTTGTTCTGCAACTGAAGAAATCTCAACAGCAATTAATACCAGCAATTAGCTGGATAAAAGCAAAGATTTCCGAATTGAGCAGATACAGACATCAGTTACTTCAAAACAAGTTCCACACAGATTCCTCCCCAATCTAGGATTACACCCAACGTTTAGATAATGTTTATACTTGGCTCCAAAAGGAATGTTTCAAACTGCACTAGTTCTGTTTATAAGAAGACATTACTAGTAAGGAGATAGTGTGTCTGTCGGTGGGAGGATACTGTTTGGACCATTTGCCCAGAACAGATTTGAAACCTCTTGAATCATGATGTTTTGAACTTTATAGTCTCAACACAAAAGAGAGAAAATACAATTGTGGAATAACAGAGTGGAATTCCTCGGATTCTAACTGCAATTAAAAAATTAAGAGTGATTTCAAGTTTT